TGTGCCCCCCAAACAAGATTAGGCCCGTACTCACATGATTGCAACAGGTCATGCTATGCAAGTTTCTAATAATTTGCATCAATTGGTCAAATAGATGCAGGTTTATTGGCGTGGCATGACCAGTTGCCATGGCTAGCTTGCCACTGAATATTAGACAAAATCATATTATATATAAACGATAATAATACTTGAATGAATCATTGGACATGTAGAGTTTAATAGCAATTTCATATATATAGATTGAATATTAAGTCAGTTTCTGTCCCAGTTATCATTTTAATGGCTGCACCTTCAGGGCTACCCCTGTTACAAAACCACTGTCACTGAACAATCTACTGACACCTGATGGGAGACAAAATCTATTTGTTGAAAGTTTTGTTTCATATGTGATACATCAGCTTCTGCATGGCGACACCATTCATTTGTAATGATTAAGATTGTACTCAGTCAGAACTGCAGAACTAGATAATACAAGAAATTGTGAGCATTAATTATCAAAAAATATAGTATATCCTGAACTGTAGTAACACAGCCAGGTGAATATATAAAAATGTAGGTCGGTAGAATTATTTCATATTATGCTATTAACAATGGACATATCTCAGAGATATACAGAACTATTACAGACCATTATATTTATACCTTTTTCAAAAATCGGTCGACATGTTATGACATGTAACCTCGCATGTAACTGGGTTAACATTTCCACACTAGGTTGCTAATAATAATATAGGAAATAACTTCGTACAAGTGACTAAGTGAGTTACTGTAATTTTTCATTCGTGTACAATTGCGTGTTCCAATGCGGGCAAGATACTGCTCAATTTATATTCCCATAATAACAATATTAATAATAAACTATCACTGTCATTATTTATACCTTGAAGTTCCTTGAAGTATGTTCTATCAAGCCTATGAATGCTACAATCGACGAGCTACCCACTTGTTTATATGAAGACTTGTAGTCAATTCATTCGCTTCAAGTTTCAACGCGTATCGACCAAAACTCATTATTACAGTATTTGTGATCAAACTTTTATCTTACCTTGAAAATATTTCGACAAACAGCCAGAGTCCAGACAAAAAATTTGCGACACAATGCGTACAATCCGTACATGTAAACATGTTTACAAATTGTCATGGTCCATGGTGGTGTTCGTGAGGTTCAACCAGCGTATTCGGAAAGTCAAATCGCGATCTGGAGTATGTTATTTTTACAGTAAAATTTCTGTGACGTCAAAATACGTCATAAATCTGATCATCCGTACAAGATTCCCAAAAATGACTTGTTGAATCCATATAACTCGCGAGCCGGAAACGGACTGGTGCGAGAAAAACACATCGTCAAGAATAGTGTGCTGCCTTCGGCAGCAAAAATACTTAAAAAACGGAGCTAAAACCACCTGCATTGCATCGAGGGAATTAAATTCACCAAGCGGCGTTTCAAAATTGGAAAATTTGGTATCGGAAGCAGAAAAAGTTGTTGGTTATCAAACCAGTCTAGTGATGCCAGCGTTGTATCTTTCCGTTGTAATAAACAATACGATATTCCACCCTAAAATAAATATCGTATTGTTTATTACAACGGAAAGATACAACGCTGAAGAATTTGACACGTACCGCTCTATTCCCCTCTAGTTTTAAGGTCCCAGAGCCTTCAGTAAAAAATAAATTGAAACGTGGCGAAAGCTCTGTTAACGGGAGTGTTCTTTGATTAAACCGCGCCAATTACAAAACAGAATTAGTGGTTTTAGTGATAACAATCCTGCACCTCCACACCCTGCTGCATCTCCCTCAAAATGGGGTTCGATCGGCCCCTATGCGACTACACCAAACGAATCGTCCAGGTCAACCGGACCAGCCCGGTTCAAAATGAACATTCCTTTAGTTTCGCTAGTACGTCCAAACAACCTGTTATCTAAGCAGGTGGTTATCAATTTCCTTAGTCTGGCAAACTTATATAAATACACTGGATATATGCACATCATTCTTACAAAATGCATTTCTTACCAAAATTACGTCGTTTGCTATTTCTTTTGTTATTGTACGAAATAATGGCTGAGGTTGGATCACGGAAGATAGCAAAGAAAGTTAAAAAAAGTTCGAAAACAAAGTCCAAGACACGTAAGGAATTATAACTGATTTCAAGTTTGTACTTAAATCTGGCGAATTGTAGGAAATATTTAGCTAACATATTGTCTGTGCCTAAATTTGAAAGCAATTAATTTCAGTTTATCCTGATGATGACTGAAATATAGCCGAAACGTAGGTAAATATAAAAATGTTATCGATCTTTGGAGTTTCACTTGTTTTGTATTTCGTAATTTTAATACCGTCATGGTAAACCTGGCTTGTTTTGCAAATTTGTCATTGAGGCGGCCATCCTGCATGGGTATCTGGGGCGGGGGTTAAGCTTCTGAGGCTTAATTGTATAAGAGTTTTTCATTTTCCGGTAAACCAAGGTTTGGTCATGGCACTATTAAAACACTCCTGTTAACTAAACTTAGTTAATAACTAAACTTAGTTTAATAAACCTAAGTGATAATATGGGTAAACTGGACGCCGATCTAGAAAATGTTGCTGCTTGGTGTTGCTCTAATAGCCCACTAATAAATCCAGACAAAATTAAATTTTTGTTGTTTGGTTCGAGACAAGTTTAAAGCGAAAATGGACGTACCATCTATACAATTTCTCGGAGAAGAGCTAACACCCGTTCCCTTCGCTAAACACTTGGGTACGCCCAAGTCTCGTATGCTAGATTCCTGCTTGTCGTTTAATGAACATACAACCAACCTGACGGCTCGAAGTTGATGGGCTCGCTTGGAAGTTCTCCCTCTCAGTTTATAAGTTAAAAGAGGCCCTGTGGTTAAGCTTACCAATGGAACATTAAAGTGTGACTAACCCCAAATATGATTTTTGGTATGGGTAATAATATTTGGGTCATTCTATGAAGAAATGTAATGTACCTAATCTTGGTCAACTGTTTCACTGTCAAAGTTTCCGGATATGATGTCATTAGGTGAATTTTTGGTACAAAAAACAAAGGAAAACTAATTTGCAGTTCACCTAATGACATCATATCCGGAAACTTTGACAGTGAAAAAGTTGATCAAGATGGGATTTTTTATTATAAAGATACATTATATTTGTTCTTCGAATGACCCAAATATTACACATACCAAAAATCATATTTGGGGTTAGTCGCGCTAATGGAGGCTGAATATTTAAAGACAAATTGTCTTTCTCAACAGGTGGACACAAAGTCAAAGGCAAAAAGCAATTCTTCCCAATGCCAATGGGACAAGGTAAATTAAAATAGAGTGAGAATTAGTTCACCTTAAAGATGAAACTCGCACTCAAGTCTTAATATATTTTCCTAACTAACCAGACTCATTTCCATATAGTTGGTCAATACCCAGTCAGCCCGCACCCAATGCCTCAATACAAGCCAGAATCCAAACAGGAAATGAAGATCACTAAAGGACTACCTCGGGCATACGATTGTTCTCATTCAAAACATGGTTGCTGTTGGGATGGTCGCACTCCTGCATTTGGACCTGCCGGGAAAGGATGTCCACGTATGTATTATACGATTGTTTTTATGAACTGGAGGTTTTTGATGTGTAATAGACCTATTAGACTAATATTTATCCTCGTCACCATCGAATAGACTTATCTGAAGAAGTTAATTGTGTGGCAACAAGTTGTTTTTTATAATTGCAGAATGTCGAGATGTTTACAAGGATTTCTGTAAAAGAACGAAGAAGCTTTGCGATTGTCCTATGGTTGCCGACTACTGTAGGATAACGTGTAAATTGTGCAGTAAGTATCTTAAATCGGTTCTCCTTCTCCACAAAAACTAGACAAGTAAGTTTGTACACTATTAAATCTTCATTTTAGGTACTGGCAAAAAGAGAAGAGGAACTTGTCAATCGTCGACGTACAATTGTTGTTGGGATGGAAAAACATCAGCCAAGGGAGCGAAAGGTGAAGGATGCCCAAGTAAGCAGATGATTGACGAGAATTTGAGAGCTTGTAGCTCAATGTGTTGTTTATGAGAAGGTTACGTGGTTCCATTCCTGTCAGGGTTCAGAATGTTTTTCTGAGATCGACGAATATTTTACGTATAATCATACTGATCGATTATGTTATATATAATCCCAATTATTGATGTTATATATGATTACAAAAAGCAATGAAAATATATCGATGATTCTATTAGATATAATAATCGATTACTCATATTAGATATAAGACATAATCACTATATATGATATACATATAATCACAGTTATTGCGATGATTTAACATAGAATCATAAAGTTTGATTTAATCACAAATATCGATAATCATAATATAATTAACAAATATAACAATTTCGAGTTTTCCCAATTTCCAAGAGTGTTGATACTGAACTGTATATCAATACGGAAAAAATGTTTTATATTTTTTTTTATAATATAGCACGAAGAAATATAAAGAAAGAAATTTTCCGCGTGTTGACATTGAGTTATATCAACACGGCTCTTAGCCAATCAGCGTTCAGAATTTACAAATCCTATATTATAAATAATGATCTAAATACTTTTCAGAAATAAAGGATGATCCGATTGCCAAGTGTTCAAAGTTTGAATCAGAATGCCTGCGAAATCCCTACTACATGTGGACAAAATGTAGAGACACGTGTCTAAAAAATCTACCTCCGATCGAGCCGTTCCTTCAAGGACTGGGGCCAGTCAGCGACCTTGGGATACCTCCATCTGCATGCGGGCAACCGTTTCCCGGCATACCACCTGGGCAGAGTGCTCCCGGAACTTTGTACCCATACCCGGGTATGCCTCATGGGCTGAATGGCAGCACCATGGGAAAGAAAACTTCAAGAAAGAACATTAAATTATTAGAAAAAAAGCATCGAGGAAGTAATTATAAATCTTGAAAATAACTTAATGGAAATGAATCAATTTAAAGCGTTAGAAACGGCAGTCTATAGTAACTGCGGATTTCGAAGTTTCACTTCACGGGTAAAAAATGTGGATTGTTGTTGGTAAACAAAGCCAGGGACACGAGAAAAACAAAGTAAAACTAGTCTCTTATTATTAGCGACTGTTTTTTAGTCGCGTCCGTGTCGCAGATTTGGCGCATCTTAAAGGCCATGTAAAGTCCGTAATGTAAACAAACGCTTTGTTTACATTTTGAACTCAGTGCTACAGTTGTAAAATATGATTAGATATATATTATACTGAATTTTAAACACTCTTCTGGTTCCGCTATGCTTGTAAATGAATACTGACTAGAGATTCAATTCAAGAAAGTTCAAAAGACACGAAATATAAAAAACAGTCCAATGGACAATGGTCGGGTCCCGACCATTGGAATGTAAGCCTGCGCAGAACGTATGCGCAGAACAGACTTTACATGGTCTTTAAGCTCCCTAGTATATTAAGCCTTCCTGATGAAACAGAAAGGCCTTCGCTCGAAGGTCTAAATATACTTGTCAGGTAGCTGTATCTCTCTCGAATCCGCAGCCAACTGCAGTTCAAGATTTAAACTGTATTAAAGTTGGATAAAAATTGAATGAGTTAGTAAAAGTTTGTCTTGTTTTGCCGGGCAGAGTAAACTGAATTCGTAATTAGCCCATTGTATAATTTATACACAATCCGCTCTGGGCACCCTCTAGTTTCATATTAATTAAAATACTGAATTATAAGCTTCACGTGCCCTGGAGGCTGGACAAAGTGAAGGTATATTATAGCGAGACTGATAGAGAGTTCCGCAATCCGAAATTGATACATACAAATGTAAAATGTTATAAATTGTTCTATATATATAGTTTTATTTCTAATACACTACAACAACTATCAACTATTAACAACATCGTCAAGTTAAACACCCGCCAAACAAGACCGTAGAAATTTATCTTTAACGCAGGTTATTTCTCAAACAACCTTTGTCATAAAGAGAAGACGGAGCATCATCAGATCAAGAGGAAGAAGGAATTATACTTTTGCTTTGCATGACAGATTCCATATTTTACTAATTTGATTTTTCTATTAATGGTCAGTGAGCTCTATATATATCTGGAGCGCGAATTTCAGTCATTCGGCCTTATGAGAAAAGTGAAGCCAAGATGGCAGAAATTAACGCCCAATATCTATGAAGCTCGCAAACAGTTTTAATGCCATTTCTTCAGCTAATTCCAGTTTTTTTCTAACGGACCGTATCGCTAAATAAGTTACCAGTTCATAAAACCATAGTGTTATTCTTTAATCGATGTCAAAATACGAAATTTTGGCACACTCCTTGCCAGCTTCGTGCACACAAAAACAGTAGAAAGGGACTGGAACCACAGAGTAACATACAGAGGCTTATCTCAGCGAAAAAACCGTAAGGTGTTTTTTTGGCCGCCATGTTCTTAGCCAGTACCTGCACATGCGCAATTTACGTAAAAAGGCGGCCTCTCTTTAATGGACTGGCTAAGAACATGGCGGATTTTTCCAAAAAAGCTCTTACGCCGACATCAAAGGTGCCGACATTTAGAGAAGCCTCTGTGTGTTAATACCACAGAATAGATATCGGACCAGAAGTGTCACTCCTATGTGTTTTGGCTGAAAGAAAACGTCCGAAATTTTTTTGCGTGCTATGACGCCATCCTGGAGTGCACCCGGCACTTTGTACCTATGTTTTCCTATGAAAAACTTCCGTGTGCACTCCAGGATGGCGTCATATGATGGCGTATTTTCACGTCAGCACTCGTAAAATTTCGGACAAAATATCGTCTGAGTGACACTTCTGGTCCTGTATCTATTCTGTGTTAATACTCTGTGCTGGAACTGACGTAGAATAACTCCTACAATTTCAGCCATTTTGGCTTCACTTTTTGGACTCAAATTCTCGCTCCAGATATATATGGAGGTCACTGGTTTCAGTAAACATTACAGGATAGGAGATGGTGGTTGACCTCGGCCCACTACAAAAGACCGCACTCCAGTTAAAGTGCGACTGACCTTTTTATATAAGTAAGCACTAATTACCTCAGCAAATACACAGTCAATCATGCACAAACTAAATACATGCGCAAACTAAACGCTGTCTTTTTATTACAATGAAAATAATTAAGATAATTGATAACTGTCGGTTGACCCCACCACTTGCTGCATGCTAGTACTTATATAGTAAAGGCTGGTTAAGACTATCAAACTTTCTGTGATCACAGTATAAATTTAGAATTCGCATAGGTAAATTCTAAGTTTTGAAGGATTTGCAAGAAACGTTTGAGGGAACTTACTTAGTGTTAAACACCAAGTCAGTTCCTTCACAAATTTCTTACAATTTCTTCAAAATTTAGAATTTACCCATGCAAAACTTCTACTGTGATCACAGAAGCTTTGATACTGTAAATCAGGCTTAACGATATGTACGTGTTGGTTGAAGGATCATGATAAAATTTGCCATTTAGTGATGTCTCTTTGAAAGAGAAACAGACATTTCACATTTCCCCCCCCCCCCCTAATTCCGGCTTCTCTCCACCCCCGCTCTATTTACCAGATTTTAAGTACAGGTGCGCGTACGGATTATACATGACGCACGAGAAACAGTTTTCGAGAGCAACCGCTGTACCATACGACTTCATCTCTAACGAAGGCTGAATCAATAACTGTCCACGGTTTTCTCGTTTCCACTTATTTCTACGATTCTGAAACCAAACTTTCACCTGTCTTGAATTTAATTCCAGGAAATTCGCCAAATTGTTGCGTTCTTGGATCGTGAGATAAGGAGCTCGTTGGAATTTCGCCTCAAGCATCCGTTGCTGTAGTCTCGAAAAACTCGTGCGTTTTCGTTGGAACGTTGTTGTCTCTCTCAGCTCGATGTTCGCGTCTCGTTTTTCGTCAGAGTTCTTGTTAGAAGACGGAGTTGTTTTATTAACATGGGTGTTCCCTTTGGAAACAAAAGCAAATTCTCAGATATCATGAAACTAATGATAATACTCATATGTCTACTATCTGCGCTTGCCCTTTCAAAAACATGCCGCACACTGCAGACATTCTTCCAAGCGTACCGAAAGTAATTCAACATGTTCAATATTTTATCTTACAGGCACAAAAAAACTTACGAAAGCGTACCGCAGTGCCATTGTCCTAAGGAGATACTGTGCGTTGCCGTTGGGATTAATAGTGCTTATATACACAATCCTGTGCTTATATAACTTTACTATGCTTATTGAAAGCGATCTTCACCCAATCATTATATACGCAGGAAATGCACACCTATTCGTTCAGTGGTTCAAAATTTGAGATTTTCAAAAAAATCTGGATTTGTGTCAAATAAAGATTAGATTAGGGTTAGGTTACGATTAGGGTTCGGGCTCAACATGTGTCGCGAGTTATTGTATTGATAAATTCGGACGTGTTTAACAATTTACTCATATAGTAAATTCAAAGGTGGAGCTCTTGCTGAGAAAATTGCACCAGTAGTCGTGTCACAGAAGTGGTAAAGGACATATGTAACAACTGAATGGGATACTTTTGTAAACTTTTTGGCCAGGGGTGGGTAAAAAAATTTTAATGGTTGGATCAGAAAAATTTTTACCAAGAAAAACAATTCTCTTAGATGCCACCCCTCCCCCCATAAATAATGACCCCTCCCTTGGGGCACGCATACGAAAAAGTGCTAGAATGATTCGTAATCGAGTAAGCTTCTAATTCTATTATTTCTTCGATTTTGTGACAGACAATTAAAGACACAATACAGCGCGATATATCCTTGGACAGTCGCCTAAACAGTGAGTCATCTACCTCATTGATGAATTCTAACTTCACACAAATCTTTCAATGCTCAAATCTCGGAAACAGTATGCAGCCAAAGCTATTTTCATGAAATAATGCCAAGGGTAATGACTAACCACACACTTTGCATGTTTACAGAAACAATAGCCGATTGCAAGCCAACAATGATTTTAAACCGGAATTTCAACAAAGCGAACACACAAATCCAAATTCCTTTGCACCTCTATAGCTCTTTATCCTCTTTCAAATTGCAGCAATTTTGAGGTCTTGTGAATACCCGTTCACACTATGTGGATTTGATTCTTCGTTTGAAGCATACATGCAATTTAGTAACGTCACGGTGTATGCAAAGCTTCTGTTCTATATCTTTTTGTTCATATTTACCAACTAGGGCAGGGTGATGAAGACAATAAAATTTTGGTATAAAAGCCCGTCGTTGAAATGTCCAACTATACAATTGTCTTTTTGTATCAACATCACTAATTAGTTCCCCATTCCATTTTTGTGTCTGTCAGTCCCAGTCAGAGCATTTGATAAAGAATAGGCAAGTCCCAGTTCCCATTTTACCCCTTCAGGACCATCTTTATTCTTTAGAGTAATATTCAAAAACTCATTAATAATTCATGAGGAAAACACAAAGAAAAATCATAAACGTGTCGTTTCTTTATATGTGATAGAGATTTCCCTTGATTTACATAAACTTTAACTTCTAGAATTGATGAGAAGCGAGAGTTTGCATGAGAGTTTTCCCAACTCTCATGCGCTGGTCAAACGAGAACAAGAGTTGCATGAGGGTTGACGAGAGTTGAGAAGCGGGAGTTTGCATGAGAGTTTTCTCAATTCTCGTCATGTCCCGGTCAAACGAGAACAAGAATTGACTGGATATTATACCGCGCGGGTAGCGACAACTCGCCTCAATTCACATCAAAATTTCAAGTTGATGAGAGAGCATGAGAGTTGATGAGAGTTAATCAACTCTCATCCTCGTTTGACGAGGGCTTGAAGCCTAGCTCGAACGTCAAACTTTTTTTTTCATGTTCCAAATCTAACGCAAATGAGCTCAACCAACGAGTTTAGGTGATTTACATTACGTTCGGCCCATTTGAACTAGCTCCGTAAGAAGATTATTTAATATGATTACAGTTTTTTTTAGATGTATTAGCAGTGTATAAAGCAAAGTGTTAAACAAAGTCATAGATGCTTACTGGCTGAGGTGGCAAAGTAAATTACGCGGTCTCAAAAGAACATTTATCAGTATAGTATTTTCAACGGTCATTTATAACGACTGTATCGATTGGATTAAGCTACGTTTACACACTGCGATTAATCGTGTACGATTCGTTTTCTGGTGTTTGTCATTGAGTGAACACGGGTAAGCTGGCTACATTTGAAATTTGTTTTTAACGAAACGGCAATGAATTATGGCGCCAGCTGACTCATTTTAAAACGCCAGAATACGAATCGTGCACGTCAAATCGTAGCATGTAAACGTAGCTTTAGAAATGGACCGATAAATTGCTGCGATTTATTTTCTCGCTAAGTCCAAGTGCACGTGCAGATTTTCCTCATACCTTTTCGCCTTATCACGCCTATGTGCGTTCTAGCAAAGAAGGATTTGAGTGACTGCGTATAACGTAATGGTTTCTAGAATCTGAATCTGATAGTCCTAAAACAAGCCCCCGCGTTTTCCTTAACAGTTTTCCGCCCTCGTTTCACTGGCTATGTTCACAGTCAACAAGGTATTCAAATAGCTTTCTTAAACTTAAGTTAAATTCTCCATGCGCGTTGAATTGATAAACAGTCACTTTGAACTGAAACTATTTAAGCAATTCTGAGACTTCTAACACTTAGTAAATCAGTCTCTTGGCAGCCAAATTTATGACCAATTTCCTTGTTCACAAGTTGGCAAATCATAACAGATAAGTTTAAATAATGGAACTATCCAGTCTATTGAAAATAGTTCTGGTGTAATTTTCCGAAAGCTGTACCATGTGTGTGCTTATTTGCGCATTATATTCACTCTGCCCCCTATTTCAAGTAAGATAAAGAAAACTAAGGTAAAGCGGTAATTATGCTAATGAAGGAGAAAACAGCAACTGTTGATGTACATAAACGGCATAGGCTACACACAACTGAGTATAGATCATAAGAGTACACAGACAACAAACTCCTGCATAATCAACCTATTCTATAATCACTGCAAGCATAAATAAAAAATGGCTTCCATTCTCTAGGTTGAAAAGTTCGTTGTTCATCTCAAATGAGGGAGCAAAACCAACGGCTTACTGGCATCAGTTTTGGACATGCAAAAACATGCATTCAGTATACGGGACTGTATAGTCATTCGAGTAGTCATTCATCAGAAAACTATGATCCAATATTCAAGTATGCAAGACACCCTGAAATGGGTAAGTTTTCCCCCAACACTAATCACTAAATGACACAGAATAATGTCTATAATGGCCGCATTGACTGTATATAGTCAAGACCTATTAGTTTGAGCACAACACTTAGTGTGGCCGCATATTGTCAAGTGTTCAAGAAAGCATACTTTGTGCTAAGTGTCAATATTTAGGGAATTACACACTCATTTTGAGAATCTATTTACATTGCGCAAAAGTTAAACTAATCGTTTGCATAATGTGCGCCATCATTGAGAAGAAAAGCTGTAAACAGCACACAGATTCAGGATATTTTAAGATTTCAAGACTAGCCCTAACTGCTTCTGTGTAATTCTGAAATCTAGCGCCCTAGCCCAACAAATGGTAATTTTACCATGCTTTTATTTCAAAAGAGTGATGAAGTGTGCCTCAGTATAGTACAAGATATTGAACCCAACTTCAATTCATGCTTAAACTAACATATTCATTCAATTGTGCATGCAAACATTTCGTGTGCACTTAGTAAAAGCCACTTACAATTTCCGCACGCTAACTTCGCCTGATTTAACGCATGCACGAATGCTTAACCATTGCCAAATTAAACAGTTTCAGGATACGCTATTTTGAAAAGCCGGCCTACTTTTAACACTACATTGCAAATATGACTAAGATTGATTATCATACGAGTCACACTGACATCATGCCCTGTGCTGATTCTTAATTTTGAGCGAATTGCGCGTTCGTTCGGAGAATCTATTTTATATTGCGCAAAAGGCAAAACTTGAACTAATTTACATAATTTGCGTCATCCTTTAGATACTAAGCTATACAGTAGTTATACTATCGTGTATAAAATGGCGGCACAATATTCTTATATTTTGGCTTCATTATCATTTAGTTTGCCAGTTAACCGAAGTGATTTTTAATGGACCGCAATGCGATGGGCGGAGAAACCAAGAGAGCGTTCTAATGCGCGTTATTTTGTATAAATTGCGTCTTCAATTAGAACGAAATGTTAAGGTTGCCCTGCAAACGAAGGGCTCTACGCTATGGTACAATATTTTCAGCTGTCTGAGGTTGCATAGTTTTGAACTGTAACGCAAAACCATTTGTAACTAAAGCGGCATAATGGTACATTACCTTGTACATTGTACAAAATGATTGGAAAGATGCAGTCATCCTACGGTACAGTGAGTATTTCATTAGCTGTTGCGATGGTATGACAACACCGTTCATGGCGTATATGAAGCGAGAATTAATGGCCCTGCGTTCAACCGAGGCCAACATGTTGGTTCAACAACATCGTTGGATGCAAAATGTTTGGCCTCGTTTGAACACTACACTGGGCAATGCATGTTGGCCGATGTTGTATTGTAAGATGTTGGGCTTGACTTTAAAATTCTCATCCAACGTTGTCCAAAATCGTCTAAAGTTAGACGATCGGTTGGAGCTAGTCGTTTGAACTGGCTTCATGTCGCAAATTCAAGTCCGAAACACAGCCTTAAGCACAATCGTTCAAGGAACATTTTCAATAAAGATTTTATGAAAACGCATTTCATAATTCCTGAAATGTACAAGTTTAACCAAAACCATTTTTGTTGTCCCGTACTCGGTAGACTTTAAGCGCAACCACGCAGGAATGGTCGGACGTGCCGGCTTTCACTGTAGCACTGACTCATATGTACAATTCCAAATTATGGCGCAAGCATTCACTAAGTCTCTAAGCCCGATGCATAAAAACTGAAGTTAAAGTAGCAACATTAAAAAGTAAAACTGCGTTATAACAAAACTATAAACTACCTTTTATATGATGTAGGAGTTCATTATCATTCGCATTTTGGGAAGGCTGGTCGACATTTTCACTTCCCAGACGTATTTCCTTATCCTCAACGTCCCCCATAAGCACAGCAATCGAAAAATTTGTGACGGGCATGGTGCAGGTTTAAATCACTTATAACCAACTGTCTCTGATGGTAGAAATTGTTTACAGTAACTGCATAGCGAGCGAGTTATCACACCCTATCCATATAGTATCAAGCGAATGATATATATAGCTAGATATACCAATCTACCAATCACTGCATATTTTAAAGCTGATTAGTGTCGAATCAATCCAATTACGAAAGATGACGTTGTCGCTGAGCTAAAACATACAGGGCCATACAGGAACAACCAAAATGAGAAACTCGACTTTTTCTCTGTTTTACATTGAATTTTCCTTGGAAAAACGTAATTAAATATAAAAGTTAAATATGAAAGGACTTGATTTGGTATTACGTATAACAAGTCTAATCGCTGCATGTTTTTTTTTCAACAGAAGAGGTCCTTAGGTTTAATCACGTCCCCAGACCCTAATGGGAAAAAAGTCGATGAAAAATATTTCCGGAGCTATCGAGTATTGGAAGACTCATCACATCTCCTATATATTCCAACCTATTTATACCGGGCAGCTCTATCAGTTCTAAACTGCTCTTCCTAGATGTCCAGTAAGGGCTAGCCTAGACTTAGGCCTTTTCTCGGCTGGCTTTGGCAGGTTTGGTCATTTTTGGGCTAGCATTTGGTAAGTATGACGTCACAAGCAAGTAAAATGAAAGCAAGGCAAAGGTCAATGAGAAAACATTGAAATGAAAAATAGAAGGCAGCCAGGATCTAGGATGCAGTAAGGGCCATTTCTTTGTGGCCCAGTAGTGTTACGTACTGCAGGAGCAAACCTGTTGATAGCAATTAAATTTGAACTGAGAGGATTACCCTGTTTTTCTTCAATATATAAGTCTTGATTCGTTCAACCAGAATCCCCTGAGGAAAATTGCGGCGAGACTAAAGCTGGAAGTAATCTTCTCACATACGACTTAATATCAAAGTTTCTGTGAGCACAGTCAGGAATTTAACGAATTTTGCATCCGTAAGTTCTGAAGGATTTGTAAGAAATGTTTGAGGGAACTGCCTCAATGTTAAACACCAAGTCAGTTTCCTCAAACATTTCTTACAAATCCTTCAAAACTTAGAATTTACCCATGCAAAATTCCTACTGTGATCACAGAATCTTTGATTCCGCCTAAACCAGGCTTTAGGCGGAATGACTCAGAGTGAAATCAGATAACTGCATGAGAAATGAAGCACCAGTCTCAGCATTCAAAGGCACTTGCTGTATCAACACCCTTTTCAAAAATTTCGAATTGGTTTCCATTTTTTAACATTTAAATTGTGCTAACACTTAGTTATAAATTGATGTTAAAAGCGTAAAAAAGTGCAACGTCCGTTAATGTCTGGGAATTCACTAAAAAAAACACGCGACCTTCACTCAAAATTTGCTACAGGGAGAAATTAAGGTAGACCGCAAAATAGTTTTCAAATTGTTTATATCAAGTAACACCTAGAAACTAGCTGACATTAAGGAAAAGGGTCTTTATAAGCTGTGGTTTTTGTGTCTGACACTAGACACTTCCTGAATTGCCTTGAGTGCACACGGAGAAAAAAGCAACAATAGCTTCGAATCGAGGCTGACAGTGTCATCTGTTGTAAAGGCAACCTCGTATCCAGGAGTAAATACCCTGGGTACGAGGCTGACTCAGGCTGTTGTAAAGGCCGATTCACACCACACAACTTTTGCCTAAAGCTGCCGTATGCCATAGAGATTATAAATAACACTAGAGGAGGCATTGTAATCTTAATTCAGTAAGAAAAAGGGAACGCGACTATTGGGGGGGGCAAATTCAAGTCCCGGATGTGTATTCGTGTTCCCATTGGTGACGAGTTTCAAATCAGCCAATGAGAGCACGATTTTATATCCGGGACTTGAATTTGCCCCCCATTAGATGCGTTCCCAATTTTTAAACTCGATGCCTCCTCTAGTGTTATTTATAATCTCTATGCCGTATGCAACCTGCTTACAACTTGAGTTGTACTGTGTAAATCAAGCAGGAGCCGTTGTAAAAAAATGTAACTGTAGTCTCTCTGGCAGGAATTGAACCTGTTGCCCTGCAATTCCGGTGCAGCGTTCTCACCAACTGAGCCACAGAGAGACAGTTGTCGTGCTCTAACCACAAGTTCGTGTATAAATACTTAGGTGATGCCATTGTAATTAGGTGTATGGGTATTTATCAGGATTTTGGGGCACCTCACTCGATAGAACTAATTGTTGAAAGGTTTTCTAGATGGAAACTACGAGTGTGACGTTCATTAAATGTATATAAAATTCACACTTCAAAATCGTGAATTTAATCTATTGTAATTTGTAAATAAGTGCTTTTCATCGCCAGTGTCTAGCACCCGTAAAAAAAATAAGAACGCTTTGACATATCAAGCCATTCTTCGGTAACTATAGTCAAGTTTGGGGAATGCAGGTAATTCAGACGCAAACCACGGCAGTTTATTGTACAGTCTGTGTCAGGGTAGACAGTGGCAATAATAAGAAAGCTTGGGCCATTGATAGGGATACCAATCACCTGAAAAATACAAGGAGATCGTCTAACTCATATTTGAAAGTTCCTTCAGTTAAGACCGAGTAAGGTAAATCCAAGATTTCCTACAGTGGTGCAAGTTTATTCAATTATTTACCATCAGAATTAAAAGATATTGAAAATCACTCAATTAATTCCTATAAAAAGAAGCTCAAAAGTCAAAACCTACGTTCTTCGATTGAATTGGATCACGTTAACAAGTTCCGCTGTATCGCATATTGCTCATTGTCAGTGTTACTCTCAATAAGATTTTCCATATTAGACATCGAGGGCCATTTGGAAGAGCGTTGACTTTTACTCTTTTCACATGAGGACTGGGTTCGAGTCACATTGAGAAGTTCTCACTGAGGCGTGAACCAGCGGCCTTAGAGGTGAAAGGCAAGTGCGCTAACGACTTCGCCACCGAAGCCCCCTTTCTAATAAGCTTTCTGCTTATTTGACAATATTTCCTACACAGAACCCCCACGTTTAAGATTATGACGCATTTGGGATCAAAACGCCTCTGCCTAAGGCTGGGAAATGATAAAAAAAAAAGATTATGAGAATTATTGATCAAAACTTTCCGAAAAGCGTTCAGAGTTGTTTGTTTTGGGCGTTTCTCTTCCTATTGCTTTTAGAAACTGATTTCCCTTTTAGGAGGGAAAATTGCCCAAGCACTTAGTGCACAGCGCAGAAAATACTTGATCTTGTAATCTGTTTATTGAGAAAAGAGCAATAACAAGATTATTTTTGCGTGCTTGGGAAACTGTGCTTGCACGCAATCGTGGTTGATTGACAGTTCCTGACGTTGTACGAAGAGTGATGGTAGTTCTAGGGGTCGTTCATATCAGCCGGCAAGCTGGGATTCATCGTGTCACGAAAATGTTCTTTTTTGAATGAACTTTCTGCACTATTTCTTCAATATGTTCAGTCGAACCCGCGTATTCTTTGCTTACACATGACGTCACTACGTGTCATTGGGCGCCATCTTGGTTGATTTTAAAGTTTTGTCCAGCCGTTTACATCGAAATACTTTAATATTTTTGGTTTGTTTTGAAAACATCTTACTGTATTATGGATAGTTTACGATTTCTGGCACAATACGACAAAGAATGAAGAATATAGATTTTTAGTTGCCACGAAAATCAACCAAGATGGCGTCAATTGCAAACGAGCAACAAAGAAAACACCTAGCTCTCTTAAGAGAACTCCCTTTTTAAGCAGACATAAACCATTGGCCGGTCCCAATGTTAATTTTAGTGCGATTTTCTTCTTCTGATGGATGTGAACGAGTGTATGAGTTATGAATGTTCAGATGAGGGGACATCAGTGAGTCGTATACTCAGAACATTCGTAACTCATCTACTCGTTCACATCCATCAGAAGAATCGCACTAGAAACCGCAGCAAACATTACAAATGTGAACGGGCCATTAGATTGTACTATGTTGGAGATGTGATGACTATTCACACTCATGGGAAAATATCTTTTCCTCAAATTTAATCCCCTTCCTGTGCCCTGCCCCAATCCTTAATCCGCTGATAGGTAGATTATTGTGTTAATGGTGACAGTGTCAAAACCAAGTCACCAAAAAATTTTTCAAAACGATATTTAAGGATACCATGGCATCACCTTGATATATATACATGAACTTGTGGTTAGAGCTCGACAACTGGATCGACTCTGTAGTTCAGTTGGTTAGAGCGCTGCACCAGAATCCCAGGGCTGCAGGTTCGATTCCAGCCAGAGGGCTTATATAGTTGTATGGACAGCAAGGGATCGAACCTGTGGCCCTACGATTCCGGTACAGCACTCTAACCGAGGTACAGAGCCCAGTTGTCGAGCTCTAACCACAAGCTCGTGTATTTATTAGTAATTAGGGAGTTTACGAATGTAAGACGGCGTCGTCAGGACGACAGCTAAACAAACTGTTTGAAATAAATGATTGTATGGTGTCCATGCAACTATAGGCCCAACTAAATGCTGTCCATGCAACTATATAGGCCCGGCCTCTGACAGGAATCGAACCTGCAGCCCTGGGATTCTGGTGCAGCGCTCTAACCAACTGAACTACAGAGTCGATCCAGTTGTCGAGCTCTAACCACAAGTTCATGAAAATATACACAGGTGATGCCATGGTATCCTTATTTTTGGTGACTGCTTGTTTTTTTAAGGTAGTAATATAACCACTCAGCACAGCATTTTCACATTGGTACTACCTACACTGATACAGACAGTTTTAGTACATTGTCCTGTATTTACTTTCTTATGAATTTAAAATAGTTTCTAACGAATAAAACAGAGCTTTAACCTTCAGAGCAATGTTGATCAACTCTGCTAGAGAAACTACCTGTCACGACTTGAAATGCTAGCGTATCACAAAAGACGTGAAAATATGCATTTTGCCGTTGTCAACAGAGCTTGGACGGCGTCTAGAAACCCTCATATATTTTCTAATTATTCACTTGATTTTGTGCTATAGGATTAATGTTATTGTATTGATAGCCGTCGTCCTGACGTAGCCGCGTCTTACATGCGTAAACTCCCTATTACTAGAAGGTGATGTCAGCATATATAATTCCGAGGTTGGAAGAAAAAAATGAAAATTTTTTCAAAATTCCGAGGTTGGAAAAAAAAATATGAAAATTTTCTCAAAATAAGGTATTATGGGTAATATCGAGATTTTGACCGATACGGAATCGAAGAGCCGCAGGTTCGATTGGGTCCAAAAATTGTATATATTCAACAAAAACCCTCCAACTGTTAGTTCTATATCGAGCGTGGTGTCCAAAATCAGGATAATCTCGTATGTTCCTGAGGTATGACAGGCATAAACCAATTTTATGAGAACCTCAGGAAGGGATAAACAATGTATAATCCGGATTTCATCCCTAAAACAATTGCCATATCGTGTTCACATGGGAAATACAATGGACTAATAACTTAAATACCCGGGGCCTTATATTTACAACACGACTAAGCATGGTAAGTACATGGTTAAAGACGCAGCGAGACAACTGTTAATCTATTTGTACAATCAATTATATCGGATCATTTTGTATGGAATTATAGTATAAGTATATGATGAGTATCGTTGTATTATAATTATAACTTAACTGGAGGTTACCAATGATGTTTTGAAGGAACTTGGAGGTAATTAATTGCCTTCTAATGTAATTAATTTTGTAGGTATTAGGCATTATTTGATGTCGGATTTTTAACACATACGGCTCAACGCATCCATGTCAGACCCCTAGCATGTTCCTTCAATGCGAATGAAAGAAAAAGAAAGGGCTTTACAACCAGCGGATTGCCGAGGGCGAGCATCCCCCCCCCCCCTTTGGTAGAGAAGATCTAGCCACACTCCACAATCGCGAACTGGCGGAGGAAAAATATTGTGTTTGCATGCCCCGCGCTTCGATCATAAGGCCTGTTTCCACTTGAGATTTTATGTGCAATTTTCTTCTTCTGATGGATGTGAACGAGTGGATGAGTTATGAATGTTCAGATGAGGGTACATCACTGAGTCATATATTCAGAACATTCATCACTTATTTACTCATTCACATCCACCAGAGGTCAGAGGCAGAAAATCGCACTAGGAATCGCAGCAAAAATTGTAAGCGCAAACGGGCCTATAGGAACCCATTGAACTATAAATAAACTGGACGGCTAACTGCTATGATGAAGGCCTATGACTTGATGAAGCCAAAATAGTTTTTCTGAGTTATGAGCAGAAATACTTGACCCCAAACGTCGGGCTATATATCAAATTGAAGCTATTGAAAATTGCTATTCGGTGTGGAAATTTCAAGATTTCAGCGAAAAGAAAAATATTTAAAAAATACAAAAACAACTGCAAAACGGCAAATTATCGGTAATTATGTTTGTAGTTTTTCAATATTTTCCTTTTAGCTAAAGTTTTGAAATTTCTACACCAAATAGTGTTTTTCAATAGCTTCAATTTGATATATAGCCCAACGTTCAGTGTTGAGTATTTCTGTTCATAACTCAGAAAAACTAAAATGCACTGGCTTCAATTCCCCCCCCCCCCTGATTTAGCCTTCCAGTTTATTTATAGTTCAATGTAGGAACCTCCACTACCACCTTCTCGGCCCGCAGAGACATGGAGCTCTGGCATTGTTTATAGACTAATTTTAAAAGATGCACATAAATCACCACAGCTAGAAAGAGCATACTAAAATTAGTAAAATTACAAAGTTTGGTTGCGAAATGTTGTAAAATGCGGTAAATAGTGTTAGAACATGGAATCACGAGAGCCTCCAAGTCAAAGTTTGTCCTGGGCCTCCAAATTTCCCTGATTGCCGTACAGTGTATGTTCGTTTTGGCATTTTTGAATATGAATTGTAGCCTGCTTTGTTGTTACACATTTTCAATAAGGGTGTGTTCAGAAATTTTCAGGGCGTGCTAAACTTTGCACAAAAATGTGCAGTGATAAAAAATTCTTAAAATTAGGTATGGTTAATGTCTTTGATTTAATATCATATATAATATGTGTTATACAGTATACTAGTAGTTAAAGTGTATATATACATGAAATATTACGTGCAATAAAGAGAAGTACATAAAATGAATAGTTATAAGATGGAGAGCTTAATTTTTTAGCCATATATCTATTTTAACTATTTACATGTAGAGAAAGTTATAGAGAAAGTGTATTTTTGATTTTTTCATGAAAATGGGACGTGATGTTATTTTTGTGAAATTACTATCAAGATTATTCCGAACGCCCACCCCTTTCACTGAAAGTGAGTGCTTGACGTATAGTTAGTCCTCTGATAAGGTTTTTGTTGAGTTTCGAGTATTGTATTGGCGAATTTGGTTGTTTGTAATAAAAAAATTGTAAAGAAATTTGGATATCGGAACATGAAAAGAATTAAAATGTATTTATTTAACTTACTAAGATTCAAGATCTGCAACTCAATAAATATTTTTTCAGTGTGGGAAATGTAAGGCTTATATGGAACATTTGAGTTATTTTACTTCCAGCCCTAGGGTGACGAAAAGCATACGGTGTAATCAATCTTAAAAATAAAGTTATTGACATATATTGTGTTACGAAATCTTGTTAACAAGACTTTAATCAGCTTATGCATGTTCAGAGGTTAATTTTGCAATTAAGAGACGATATTTCCTATCTGATTACAATGTATAACATGGTTTTAAAGTGGTAAATACCATGGATTTATGCTGTAAAAATATTTTTGTAAATTAAGTACTATCGTAGGATTAACGAAATTGCGACGTCGAATGTTCTTTGAGATTCCTGGTGTTATTTCACTCATAACTATTCAGCGTGAAATTTATGAAAGTTCATAATTGCAACTCTAATTTAGCTAATTAGTTTGGTATAGTGTCTTAATTAGTCAATTAGTTAAGTTAATTTCTTATAGTTTGTATTATTTTTGTTTAGAACAAATAGCGCAGCACATGTACTTGTTGCATATATGATTTATTAAATAGATATTAAATTTGATATTTGTAACGTTAAAGATAAGCTACGGAATTGATTTTACCATTAACGAGCTGGACCATGTCAATCCAGTATAATTATTGAAATCAACTGGAAAAAGTAACGCGACGTCACGAATTAATTAATTACTCGTACTCATTACCCCCAATTATTTTTCATAATATGAAATAATTTATGAAAGAAAACCTTACGTAAAACTCACTATACAGTTTTATCAATCAAATGTGTTTATAAATTTACATAAAATTGTACAATTAACATATGAATAACAATAGCAATTCCCATCACAGACTAATGTTAAAACTAGGCAAGGAGATGCAAATAAATCACCACAGCTAGAAAGAGCATACTAAAATTAGTAAAATTACAAAGTTTGGTTGCGAAATGTTGTAAAATGCGGAAAATATATAGCCTTCCAAATTTTGTATACTTTTGTATTGCGTGCGGAAATTCCTACCACATTTGGGCCGAAAATGGTAGCAATTTCCGCACGCGAAACAAAACGGTATACAAAATTTGCAAGCTATGCTTAGGGGTCCGGAAAAATTTTTGAAATCTGAGGTCCCATAAATGGCCAAATCCTGCATTCTGGAAGTCTAGTTGACAGTTATATCTATATGCGGTATATTTCACTGCAATTATTTATTTGGGCCCCCCTTTAACTCGGGTCCCAGGGCAAATTGCACCCCTCTGGGCGGCCCTGACAGCACCTGCAGTTACGACTATCTATGACAGCTTAGTTTTATAACATGACTGAAGAAAATAAATATTTTCCTCTTGGCAAATGAAAGGCGGCTACGGGCTTTGGCATGACAAATCTCTAGAGGAGTTCCAGGGACATGCACCCACAGACAATTTTGTAATCTAGGCACTATAAAAGGGCATCTCCTGCAATGCGCGGGGACATTCTATAGAATTCTGAAAATAATATAGTAATTACAAAATCTTAAGTATCGTTCACTCCATCTTCCAAACCCATAAAGAGATCTTTGGTGAGAGACTTTGTTCATCTGATGAACCATAAGTATGTTATTAGTGCGGACGTTCGATAATTTGGCAGTCATCATTTCAATTTCAATCAAATCATTCTCATTCAAAATGTTTCGCCGGATTAGTTCAGTTTTTCTGCTCATTGACATTGTCTAATTTTCTTGTGTTAAGTAACAACTTATCAAAGCAAATTTTATCACTGCACATTTTACATTTTATCATTGCACATTTTACTTTTATCACTGCACAAATTGGTTATCACTGCACACTAAAATTAGGTATGACATTAACTGACTAGGGGTCTAAATCCAAAAGCCTGTTAAAGGTTTCTATAGACTCCTAGCCCATTATTTTATAGTTTTATCTTTTTTCATGTAAATAATATTAAAATACTCATTAATAATTCATAAACCTTGTGGCAAATCATGTCAGCCATAATATCTGACTCGTCCCCAGTCGTCTCTGTGAGCACGCGCGAACTGGAAAGCGCGTGCAGGGCCATAATATGTCACGTGCATGGAGTGACTTCATATCTGATAAAACACATGCATGCATGTGGCATTATATAATTGTTCATCCTAATTAGTATTCCTTATATAATTGTTCATCCTAATTAGTATTCTTTTGTAGTCATATTTTAATATCTGATAAAACACTCCTACTCATGTTTTAAATAGTACTTAAAAACATGGGCGAGTCACTAAAAAAAAGAAAAAAGCCAATTCGAAGTTTCCACTGCGCATCCACATGACGCGTTCTGCGCAGAAATAAATTGAAGTTGAGCTAAAACATGTAGCCGAGACAAGCCGAGACTGGAATAATTAACACCGCGGAAAAACGTCTGCGCATGCGTCAACGTTACCTGTAATAGTATTGCGAACTTGATGAGAAGCTGTTCCGAACGTTTCCGAAGGCTCAAAATGGCGGTAAAAAGGAGTGACTTCATTGTGCGTCTTTACAGCCAGATTTCGAGCGCAAAAATAAACATGTCATTCTAAAAACTAGGAATAAATACAGCCAGAAGGTTCAAGAAATTGTATTGTACAAGAACATGAACTAAAGGTGATTGTTAACAAATTTATTGTCTGAAACATTTTGTTTATCAACTAAGCAACGACAATTTCGAGATACATTTCTTTAAAAAAAACTGTGTCGCCAAATATAAAAAATGTTCGTGTTCACAATAATTAAACTTTAGGATTTATTCTACAATTTGAGTGGGTTGAGAAGCTTAACTTTTCGAGAGTTTTCTTAACTTTTTAGTTTGAATTTTTGTTTTGAATAATTTTGCAAAAATTTTCCGTTAAAATCAACAATTTTTTACATGAATTATATTTCATTCCATATTTTAAATGCCAGGACGCTTTCAAGTTTCAATTAATGTCTAGTCTACCCATTTGCTATATTTTCTCGTTTGTTTTACTAATTTTTGACCAATTAATAAGCATGTTTTTGTTTTAGAAATTGATATTCAAATTCCCCAACATATTTTCATAATTTGGTGCATGCGCAGACGTTTTTCCGCGGTGTTGGAATAATTAGGATATGCATACCAAACATAGAAATATTAGACCTAGAATGCGTGCTTGGTCACGTGACCGGTGTCCAAACTGAAAACAAAAATGCCCTTATAAATCCGCCATGTTGAATTTGAGTAGGAGTGCAAACTACAAAGTATAAACAAAACTAAAACTATAAAGTTTTCATCGTCAAAACGTTTGGTATTTGTAGTTTGGGGATAGAATTTGAAATATTAAGTTCTTTAAAGGCTCAAAGCAAATGTGCCGTTACAAAAACGGTGAAAATCGTGCAGCCTTGTATAAAAAACAAGTAGTTTTTTTGTGTAGTTTCGCGTATAAAATATAACTTACTCATAAAACATTTTTGCAAGCTCTGAACGTAACTGTTTTGCTAATACTTTATAAAATTACGAGATGATAGTTCATTCTTCGTCGGGTTTTGTTTTTCTTCAATCTAAACGAAGTGTTTTCATGTTTTTGAAACAAAAATATTTAGTTGTTGATATTTAAAACTGTAAATCGCCTAAATGATCGTCGAAAACATATGGTTTCAAAAGCGTTGCCTCAAGCTCAAGCAACGTATAAAAAAGTATAAAAAGTAGTTGTGTAAGTTTAAAAAGATTATTGAACTCTATTTATATTATAAAACAGTTGAAATATATTTTTTAAAACATACCTATTGAGTTTCAGTTTGTCTTGATTTTTCGTGTTTTGTTTTGGCTTGCACAACAACGTTGAAAATGTATTTTGAAACGACGATTTCTCTATATATTCTGTTCAGAACTATTGCTCTTCGTAAAAAACCCCACGGGAATGGGTTTTTCTCCATTAAAAACACTTTTTTTCCACTTCAAGTCTGGATAGAATTGTTTTTGCAAACTTTGTTGAAAAAAACAATTCGCACTCCCGGCACCGCGCGAATTTCCACGCCACAGGAGTCTGGGACTAGCCAAAATGCCCTTATAAATCCGCCATTTTGTGGAGACAAAATTTTTACTGAGAAGAGATAGGAGCACGCATTCTATGTCTATTATTTCTATGATACCAAAGCATTCAAAAATCATTATTTGTGTAATCAGTGCTTCCATTTTCAAAAAACATAATTTCCTTCCAACCGTTCAAATTGACAAAATTTCCTTGCAATAAAATCATTGAATTTTACCTAAGGGGAGAGACAAAGAGATTAACACGAAGGAGAATAATAAGGGGAGGTCTGCTCGATTTTCAGCATATTTTGAAGCGCATTTCCTTGGATATTGCCGTATTCTTAGGATTTTTTTTAGAAATAAGGCAATTTCCTTCACATTTCCTTCTATCTTCCGAAATTTCCTTCAATTTT